AAAAATAGTACTAATCTTGAAAAAAAAATTTTTTTTAAGAGAAAATGGTGAGACTTCATGTTCTATAGTTTGTCCATATTGTCAGGAGAGACCAGTCCCTGGTCAAGGACATCATTCTTGTTAAGGTAAAAGGACAGCAAAAAGAGGAAGATCATCAAGGAGACAGATTGACACCAGGGCTGCAACAAAGGGCTCAACGCAGGAACCAGTGTGAGGATGGCCAGGCCAGGCAGTGTTCGTTTGGCGGTCCAGCGCATCTCGATGAGTCAGAAGGACTCGATGGGATCTAAGCACAGCAGCAAAATCCCATTTACTTAAATCAATAAATTCACTTTAGGTCAACTTCCATTTTGTTTATCATCTTTATTGGTACACAGAACCAAAATAATGGTATATTCTTGAGCGGTGCTCTGATATTTCATTACTCATTAAGTTTTACAGTTTTGGGTGTAACAGAAACATTCATGACTTAACAAATGCTCTGATCTAAAATATATACTTGGATGTGTGGTAGAGGTTCTGGGGCCCCTGAAACTCCTGGATTGTATGATAATGTGAGGTGGCTTCAAAAAGTTCATGGAAAGAGGGAATTGAAAGATGATAAGAACCCGGGGTTGTATGACCTTACTAGTTCTCCCTAGGGTCAGGAGCCACTTACCCTGTATCTATAGCCTCTTCATGTTCTCCCTGCTTTGTTCCAACTAGTATGTGGTTTCAGGAGATTGTGCTACTGACTGTTTGGCCCTAATGGGTTCACAATATTTGAAATTTACTCCATCTTACGCCAAATTGATGAACCTTTCTGGCATTTTAGTAGTAGCTTATTTTTGGCGGTAACCTTTAGAGACCTCTGAAACAGTATCAAGAAACATGCTGCTTTTGGGTGCGTATGAACTGCTTCTTACTCCTAGCAACTCTATGTGACAGAGGAGCGTTGCTCCATACAGTTTTCTTGGTCGCACTCTTCGTGGGAGAATCTTCCACACCTTTCTCCCTAGAAAGCCCCGGGGGATTTTAAACTGTCAACTTTTCAGGCGGTAGCCATGTGCTTAAGGGGTAGGCTCCTATGAATCCTCATAGAAGTTGCCATCTACTAGGTAAGTCGGTATAGCTGATTAAAAGCAATTGTAAACCATTCAGAAATATGTTTGGCCAAAGTGTTTATGTATTGAGTTAGTTAATTGTGCCAACCTGGCCGATAATCACATGTGGGGCTAATTGAAAGGCAGAGGGATAAATGGGTGGTGAGCCTCGCCTTTCTAGTTCTCGGGTCTCTTGCTTTGTGATGGTCCCACCAGGGTGCAGCTGCCTTAGCAGTTCCCTGCTTTAGCTGGCAAGATTGACTTCCTAGAAGACATCCCCAAGGAGAAGCCACATGGACCTATCCCGATGCAGCCCTGGGTGCTGGAGCAGCCATGTGGAGACCCCTGCTAGTGCTGAGATGCTTACACATTCACTGACTCAGCTTTCCTCCTGCAGTGGGCATCATTGCCTGTTTCGTGAGGTGGAGGACTTGTGGACTGGTGTTGGGTTAATGGGTTAATGGGTTAATGTTGGTCTTGTGGGCTTGGGCAGCATTGGGTTGGGATGTTTTCGTGATGCACACTTTCTTTACATAAAACTCTCTTATATATGTGTTGCTGTGGATTTGTTTCTCTAAAGTACCTAGACTAATACATGTATGTACATGGTTACTTATATTTATGGATACATATATCCTTGTACCAAATACAGAAAGAATAAGTGATAGTCACTATTTTTATGAAGTCAAATTTGATGCATATATTTTAATGTACATGAATATGTATATATATATATATATAAAATGGAATAACAACCAAGTATCCCAGAAGCTAATGGAATATTAAAATAGATACAAATTTAATTCTTAGAAATTCAAACATATGAGTAGATTGTCATAATAACATACTTTTATCAAATTAGTATTCTAATTAATGATTTTGCTCATGCTTAGTGATTTTTGTAATTGTTCAGTATCAAATATAAATACCTATAATTTAACTGCACCATTTTTTGTTGTTTGTTTTTGTGTTTTTGATCCAGTGTTAACGAACCCAGTATGTAAATTATACCGATTTCCCACGTCTGATAACAAGTGGATGCGGATCCGGGAGCAGATGTCAGAAAGTATACTTTCCTTTCACATTCCTAAGGAATTGATATCCCTGCACATAAAGGAAGACTTGTGTAGGTAAGAGAAAATAATGTCTGATTGCATCTCACAGTCATGAAATTGTCTTACTACATGATGATAATAAGATAAAAGTCTAGACCTGCCCTCTCCAGTATGCTGGCCTCTGGCACATGTAATCACTTGAAACAGCGGTTCTCAGCCTGTGGGTCGTGACCCCTTTGGGGGTCGAATGACCCTTTCAGAGGGGTTGCCCAATTCATAACAGTAGCAAAATGGCAGTGATGAAGTCGCGACGACAATAATTTGATGGTTGGGGGGTCACCACACGCGAGGCACTGCATGAAAGGGTCGCGGCATGAGGGAGGTTGAGAACCACTGACGTGAAAAGTGACTGGTTTGAATTGAGACGTGACGTATGTGTAAAATATACATTACACTTTGAATCTTGGTTTTGTGATTTGGGTAAATGTCTACAGATCAAATAGTGGGTCTTTGGCTCAGGAAATTATACATGTTTTGTCTCAGGTATCGATGGAAATTCCTTTTCCAGCCTATATCTCCTGTTTCCGTTTTGCTCCCTTTCCTACCCCTCTAACCCTTCGTCCTTGGTTGACTGTTGCCCTTTGATCTTAAAATGGCTGATTAGTCTAACTTAGAGTGAGTTTGGTTCCAGATGTGTACGATGACTCGGGACTGTAAGCTTGGGAGTTTAATACTCTATACAATCAGTAAAACAATCCATTTTTTTTTTATGGTCCGACTGTGGTGGGCTGCTAACCACAAGGTCAGCAGTTTGAAACCACCAGCTGCTGCATAGGAGACAGATAGGGCTTTCTACTCCCCTAAAAGTTACAGTCTTGGAAACTCACACAGCCACTTCTACCTTGTCCTATAAGGTTTTTCTGAGGCGGAATCAACTGGGTATCAGTGCGTTTTTGAGTTTTATCTGTTCTATGATTTGGAGTTCTTTTTCACTTGTTTCTCTAAGGTGATCCTTTCAAAGTAGTTCTTAGGGTCGCCAGGTACCGTCTACTTCTTGTGGTTCAGGATCAGGGAAACTGAAGGTTATATAGTTCACTAGTTCACTGGATTCATTGTTTTGTCATGTATCTGGAATTTGATCATGCTGCTTTCTTTTGGAGGGAAAGAGACCAGTAGCTAGTCCTGAGGTAGACCTTAGACAGACCTTAGATAGTCATGCAGGAGTCTCCGAGCCCTCATCACCACTCAGGAAAGGAGGATGGAGCACTCTACATTGGTGAACTATGCCATGCCAGGCAACCTAGGCGTTCCCCACAATCATCACCTCCTCCTCCAGCCCCAGCAAGCTCCCAGGTGTTGGTTATATCTAAAAAGTTTCCCCAAATTTCTCCCTGTATGGTCTGCTGTATTCATGGTTATCTTTGCATCAAAGGTAAACACACATGTACAAATAGCCTCTATGAAATCTATATTATTGAATATATTTCCACTCTCCCTCCTATATCTAATCAGCCAAATATCTACTCATAGATCAGTTATTGCAT